TGTTTGAGGGTCTAATTGATCCCCCTAGTGATCTTATATGTTTATTTTGGAGTCAGTAAGAGCACTCTGTTATTGCTTTCAAATATACTCTGCTTGTTTTGAGTTGCCAAAGAGGAATACTGTACTCGATAGAGAATTTCCTTGTGTCCATGCTGGCTGAGAGCATGCGTGGAATCCGTGCTTTGGGTAATGCCCGTAACAAGAGTTGTTGCTGATGCACTTGGTGTGGTGACAATTTGTCTTGTTGCTGTTCTGGTCCTTCTGGGTGTGTTTTGCACTGTGTACGTACTTTACTTCCGTAATCGGATCCGTAGTCAAGGTCTTATTCGGTTCAATTATTTTAGTGGTCCTTGGATTATCAGAATTGCATTGATCTCTTTCGCAATCTGGTGGGCTATTTGGGAGATTATTAGGCTGAATCTGTTGAGACATGAAAGACGAATCTTGGGTGCCCTCAACTCAAAATGGCATGAAATTGTTTGCAAATGCTACATCATTTCAAACCTGGGGTTTGCAGAACCGTGCCTTCTTCTCGCCCTTTTATTTCTTCTCCGTGCATCATTACAGAGGTCTGGGACATTAAACCAGAAGTGGAATACAAGAACAGCCGGATGTGTTATTCTTTATTGTCTCCCAATGTTCGTTCTTCAGCTCATAGTTATTTTAATTGAGCCAAAGTATAGCAAGAACAGTTCCATGAACAAACTGCCTCCATATTTCTTCAAAACAGCTTCTTCTAAGACAAGTGACAATGACAATGTTACCATATGCACCTACCCTCTGTCAAGCACTATCATTCTTGGTCTTTTTGGTACTGTACTCACTACATACTTTTTATGGGTTGGGAGGCGAATTCTTCATTTGGTCATCAATAAGGGTTTGCAGAAACGGGTGTACACATTAGTCTTTTCTATTCCTGTTCTTTTTCTCTTAAGAGTACTACTTCTTGGTCTGTCGGTCCTATCTGAGCCAGAAAATCTTTTGTTTGATGCCATTGCATTTTTGGCTTTTCTCTCTCTTCTATTTTGTGTGGGAGTTGGTATCTGTATGCTGGTGTACCTTCCGGTTGTGGATTCTTTAGCTGTGAGGAGTCATCAAAGCGATGCAGAGGCTAGATGTAGTGATGAGTACAACGATTCCATTTCACTAATTCCTCCAACTCATAGACCTCGTGAAGAAAGTACNAAAATCGAGTCTAGCGATTCTAGCGCTCAATACACTTCTAGTTCCAAAGGAAAATGAAAAATCTAGGGCTCAGTTTAATCGAGAGTAATGAAAATGTCGTTGATTCTACAGTTGAATTTTAATATTAGCTCAAGAGCTTCGAGTTTTGCCGAACTTCAATTTTTTTTGGGAGCTTGATCCATAAATTATTGAACACTTCTATAAAATGTGTATATCTAAGTATATATTAATCTTTCCAAATACCTGATATTAAAAATCATTTTGAAAAAATAATTGGCTTTCAAACAAAAAAAAAAAAAAAATTTAAATCTTATTTCAAACAAAGAGAAAACTTGCCAAAATTTTTGAAGAAGATATAGTTTTGAATAGTAATTTTTTTTTAGAGAATATGCGGTTAAAAAATAGAGAAAAATTTTATGTATAAAAAGTTTTTATTTTGTGGGGGAATGTGAAAATTATCAAAATAGTCAATTTTTGACTTTGCATTTACAAAAATATCACTTTTTTAAATTTTTTGCAAGATTGCCAATTTTGAACATTTTTGTCCCTCTAGATAATTCAAATACACAACATGTCATTCATTAAAAACTGTTTTGGCTAGATGAAAAAATAATACAAAAGGTTTATACACACACACACACACACCTCTTATTCCTTAAATTTAAACGGCTCAATTTCATCTCGTTCAACGCTGTCGACAACATTAAAATCCTTCATTTTTGTCCAGGCTTGAAGCCAAATATCCGTTAATCAGTCCACTGTCAACGAAGATGACCATTAATCTCTTGAGGTTTTCTTTTATCTTTTTTTTTTGCATTTGTTGCTCTCTTTTCTTCTGATTTTTCAAAACCTCTTATTCCTTAAATTTAAACGGCTCAATTTCATCTCGTTCAACGCTGTCGACAACATTAAAATCCTTCATTTTTGTCCAGGCTTGAAGCCAAATATCCGTTAATCAGTCCACTGTCGACGAAGATGACCATTAATCTCTTGAGGTTTTCTTTTATCTTTTTTTTTTGCATTTGTTGCTCTCTTTTCTTCTGATTTTTCAAATTTACGGGTATTTGTTTTTCATTCTTCACAATTTTTGTCCTAAATTGGTACAATGTCTCTTTTTTCATTTTTGTTGTCTATTTTTTTAGTTCTATGAAAATGTTAATGTGTTTGTGTAAGTTATCTATGAATTTCTTTCTTATAATTATGTTTTTCACTTTTCTTTTATGTAAATAATGGTTATTGGTCATTCTTGGGCAAATTGAGTTTGGGTTTAATTTTTGAGTTTGCAAAATGAGCGAAGATTAAACTGGGTATATTCTAATCAACATGCACAAATAAACTTGGTTAAGTGTGTCTTTATATGATTATTCAGGGTTATTTGAATGTTGTTTTAAGCGTTGGATCATTCTATTTTCATTCTTGAAAATGTCTTTGTTTTTACATATAAAACTTATGGCTGAATATATGAAAAGTATTACTATTTAAAGTTATGAGAATAACACATCATGTTTGTCACAATTCAACCCTTCATGTTTTGGAAAACCAATATAAATGTGAAATGTAAATGTAAATCCTGAGAGTAACGAAATCATTTGTCAAGATGAATTGTTGTTCTGGACAGTTAGGTTCTGAAATTCTCGACAATTAACCAACTTATCTCGACAGTTGGATGTAGAAGCCAAATTTTGTTAAATCTCTCTTCTACATGTGATTTTAGGGGTTGAAACGTATAACATATCATCTGAGTACTATTATTACTTCATGGAATATAAACATAATAGTTATGAATTCATTTTTAGAGATAAACTGTCATTCTAGATAGAAAAATCACTGATCCAATAGGTATTTGCTTGAACTACCGGAAGGTCCATCGACTAGCTAGGTAAACAAGGGAATTGGTATGTGTTATCACTCTAATTTAAAAACGCATTTGTCCCACTGTTTGAAGTTTTAATCTTAATGATTTCAAACATGGTTGTTTCGTATGAAGATACTGACCTGAAAGTTGGTAGTCCGAACAATCGAATGTCCATTGACTAGAGGGGTAAATGAGGCAATTGATATTTGTTACTACTTTCAATTAAAACAAATGCTCGATTGTTTTGATTTCTTAACCTTGGCATTTGAAACTTGATTATTTCGTATCAACGTGTCGACCCGAAAGGTACATGACTAGACAGTCACGAAGTTCCCTGTGCTTGTGGCAGACGGTAAGTTTCGTAATGAGGTAGTTATACAATGTCAAAGTCTTATATTTTACGTTAAATATGTTTAGTTGAAGACAAACGTATCATTTCGATGTTATACTTCAAATCTTGGTAGAATATGTTATTTTCTTCCATTATTAAATTTTGATAACTAATACGACACTAATCACTTTTGCATAGGAGTACACACTGATGTACCATTAGTATCAACTATACCCGTTCAAGGTGACGATGACATTAACACAAATATGCAACGATCATCACGTGTTTGAGTGCCTGCTGCATCGACATGACTCCATTCACGAGGAGGAGCGAATAGAAAGTCAACCTATATTAAATCAAGCAACATATCAAATACATTGCAGGAGTTAGTTAGGAAAATAGTCACATATTCCCAAGGATAACATAATTGTTGTTTTAAGTAGTTAATGACGGAATAGTACTTTTAGATGTGTTTATTTTAAAATGAAAATGTAACGTGATAATACTTTTGTATAGTTTTTTACTTTAAAATATTATACAATTTTTATTAGTGATGTGCACAAATGTTTTAATTTGCTGTAATAGTCACTTAAACGATGTGTGCTCCTAGGTAAAATTCAATGGTAACATAGTTGAATTTGTTAATTTTACAACTATTTATACTTATGTGTAGACTATATTTATGGTCTCTAGTTTCAATTAGGAATTCACTTGATAATGTATGTACATAATGGTGTGTATCCAAATATCCGTTACATTGAAATTTACAGTGTACTTTACTCATTTGTAATGAACTGTCGAAATTATTCGTACAATTTGTCATGATTTGAACTATCGACAAGTAATAAAATATGTTGTCTAATAAGTTACTATGCCCGTAGTAATATTTCTACACACTAATGCCTACAACTAACTTTGTCTAATTAATTGTTTGTTCATCAATTGTGAACATGAAATAATGTGTTATCCAAATTCTCATCTAATCGTATATCCTCAATATCAAAAATTAATATTTTTTGTGCATTATCATTTGAAACACTTTGCATTTGATCAACCTCATGTTGTGTTTACTGGATGCAGGGTGAATTCTGTTATCTTTGTGATATAGGAACTTATCATTTTATCATTCATCGTTTTCTCTTTCTTCTATTTACATTGTACACATTTCAATGTTCTATAATAGTAAATGATATGTTCTTTCGACAAGTGCTAGTATTCAGGATCATTGATTACCAACAACTACAAAAGAAAACTTTATGATAAAATGATACTCATGATTTAAAATTTATATTCTGACGATGAAAGCGGGAGAGAAGGTTCTAATGTCGACGACGAATGAAGTGGGCAGTAATGAAATATAGTTATGTAATAAGTTATGTATAGTCCATCTTTTTAGGGATGATTTTGGTAATGTGTTTACCAAAACTTTACTTATGTTTCTTACGTGTAGTTTTTTTGTGTATTCCAGACTAAGTATCAAGAATGGCAAAAACAATCTGTCGAGATCGACAGATGAATTGTTGGACTGTCATGAAATATGTTGTCTATGAATTCGTATTACTTATGAAATTGAACATGTATTTGCCTGTCTGGGAACGATATGGAAATAATGATGACGATGTAAGTTGAATATAGTAATGTAAGTTGAGAATGTACTTGGGAACATCGTAAGTTGAAAGTACCTTTATGTAAGGCGTGTATGCTTCAGTAAAATCAATATATTATAAGCATGATAAAAAGAAATAAATATAACGAAAATGATAAATTGCTAATTTTTTAAAGTATAAAAGCACTCCACCTCTAATATTGTAGTATATAATTCAATCCAATTTTGTAATTGTCCTCCTTCTTTTTTCCATAGTAATACGACTTAACATTTGTGGTGTTTATCATTTATGTGTCAATTGAGTCAATTATTTACAACTTACAAACAACGTGTTTGGTGGGGGATTAAAATTAAATTTTTTATTAGATTGTGATAGCAATTTTTGAATGGTGTGGTTAAATTATTTTCAACAGTATTAGGGTTCGATAATGACAACATAAGGAGTAATAACAATCGCAAAAGATAATGACAACAAAACGATAATATAACTTGATAATGTACAATGCAGTAGGGGAACATTGGACATATTACATCAACAACGACATCCAACAGTTGTTTAAGAAACTTATGTTACATTAGGGGTTGAACAAACTTTGTCCTATGTTACACGATGAATCTCAAGTGATGACTCATACTTGAAATATTTGGATTGCAAAGGTGAGAATTTTGCACGTTCTATATGTCGATATTTAATATCATCACATTGAAGCTTTCGAATATTTAGATACATGCAAAGCAAAAAGGGAAACAAAGGATTTTAACAGTTTCAAGTGTTGAAGTCGACAGTTAAATTTTCTATCCCGACAGTTATTAAATATCGAGTTCGACAGTTCAAATGTCTAAATCGATGATTTCAATTTCACTATTCGACAATTGAAGTGCTATAAATTTCGGGACAACTTGAAAACCATATACTTTGTTCTTTGGAAGAAATTATTGAAGACATTAATGATGATAATCAATTCTCAACTACAAAATCATAATATCGTCTTAAAATCAAATAAAGACTAACTCAATATTTCACATCAATATGTGGGTATTTTCCCCATAAAAATGTATAAAAATAAAACACATCAATGAATGAGAGATTTAAAAAGTTCAAATAAATATGATCATGTTGTACTAAATATTTAAATCAAGCATTTTATGAGAAAAAAATATAAACAATTTCTACTAGCTCACTTTGAGATGGATGATCAATCCAATAGCTTTCCCTTCGTGATGATGGAGTGAAGATGATGATGAAGAAGGAGGGTTTGAACCTTACGTGTTTATGCTTTTTTTGAAGGGTAATTGGCAAAAAAAGTCCATACCTTTCAAGTGTATTGTGGAAAACATTCATACCTTTCATTTTTTGACATTTTTGCCTCTATTTCCACCTTTCTTTGCGTCAAAGGTCCTTTTCACTATTTTTTGGGTGTAAAATGACCAATATGGCCTCATCTTTTAATAAAGGAGGGTTTGAACCTTACGTGTTTATGCTTTTTTTGAAGGGTAATTGGCAAAAAAAGTCCATACCTTTCAAGTGTATTGTGGAAAACATTCCTACCTTTCATTTTTTGACATTTTTGTCTCTATTTCCACCTTTCTTTGCGTCAAAGGTCCTTTTCACTATTTTTTGGGTGTAAAATGACCAATATGGCCTCATCTTTTAATAAAAGAAAAAAGAAAAGAAAAGAAAAAATTGCAACTGTAGGCGAAACTCTAAAAAAGTGCAAATGCCCCTCCCCCTAAAACTTCACTTTCTTCTCACACCTTATCCCCACGCCACCGTCACTTGTCAGCCATTTTCAACCACCTTCCAATCAGCTTGGCAGTCGGACCAACATATCAACTTGAAGCCCTCACTTCCTTCTTCACAACCCATCCAACCACTGGCCGAAAATCTAAAGGAATTGGCCGAAAAATTATGCCAAAACTGGCTGCTCACGTAACATGAAACGGCCAAAAATGGAGGTCGAAAACTCCATTTTCGACGATACCCATGGCAAACCCATCCTCCAGGTCAATTGTGCTCCTTATTGCGCTCCTATAGATGTTTTCATATCATCAAACAAAGCTGAAAATCAAAATCTACAGCCAGAAAATCGAAGTTTGCATTCGGCTGGTAGTTCTTCAGTTCAATCTTGAAAATTGATCTTTTGATTGATGAATTGATGCAATTGATGGAGGACCCATAGTTGTGACAACATTAGTTGACGATTACATGTTAGAATTGATGGATTGAAGCCCTGTAGCATCATCAATCGAAAGGGGATCGACCGAGTTTCTTTGTGTACGAAATGTCGTGGCTATTTCTACAATTTCTAGCCAAAATTAACGATGACCCATAGGTTCTTTAGGTTCACCTTGAAGAGGCGGTGCTAGAAGGGGCGGTCCGCGATCATCGATCGTGACACCGACGATGAAAAATGTGTTTGAAGTTGCTGATTTAGCTGTTGAAGAAATCGCCTGGTTCTACAATTTTGGGTTAAAATTGACAATGACCCATAGGTTCATTTGGTTCTCCTTGAAGAGGTGGTGCTAGGAGGGGTGGTCCTCTGTCTTCGATCATGACGTCGGCGTCGGAAAAAGGAGTTGAATTTGTTGATTTTGTTGTTGAAGTTGCTTGGGCAGTCTATTTTGGCGCGATTTTTCGACCAATTTCTTTAGATTTCCTGCCAGTGGTTGGGTGGGTTGTGAAGAGGAAAGTGAGGGCTTCAAGTTGGTATGTTGGTCCGACGGCCAAGCTGACCGAAAGGTGGCTGAAAATGGCCGACAAATGGCGATGGCGTGGGGGTGAGGTGTGGGAAGAAGGTGAAGTTTTTGGTGGGTGAGAGGGGGGGATTTGCAATTTTTTAGAAGTTTTGCCTATCGTTGCAATTTTTTCTTTTCTTTTCTTTTCTTTATTCTTTTATTTAAAGAGGATGACATATTGGTCATTTTACACCCAAAAAACAGTGAAAAGAACCTTCGATGCAAAAAAAGGTGAAAATAGGGTTAAAATATCAAAAAATGAAAGATATGAACGTTTTCCACAATACACTCGAAATGTAGAGACGTTTTGTGCCAATTACTCCTTTCTTTTAACTTTTCACCCCCAATTTTTTAACAAAAATTCAATTATGTATATAGATTAATAATCTCTTCCATTGTTTAAAATATAGAAAACAAATCATCACATCAAATCATTAATTATATTCAAATTAAGCATTTATTGCTGTTAAAAATGTGTAACAAATGGTAAAATGGACTTTTTGTAATAAAAAGTGACATTTTTACGGAATTTGGTGCAAATATGAATATTAGGAGAAGTTTCAAATTCGATGACATTTGAATTTGTGGTAAAAAACTGTGCGAAGGGAATAAAAAATGGCTTAAATGATTCCACGTGGCGGTCAAAGTCAAAGTGCAAAAGGTCCAGAGAATCATCGAGAAAAGGTCCCTCTGCGGACCAGTCAAAAAACCAAGGGTATAATCGTAATTCGATTAACTTAGTGACCCGTGCCGCCGCCCCCAAATACACGTTCCTTTACTAGTCCGCCTCCTGCATAGAATAAAATAAGGCCCAAAACAGAAGCCCGAGAGAGTTCTTCATAGCTCCACAGCCTCCACTTGTTCTTGAATTTCAGATTACCGACAATATTGTAAAGATCTCGTTTGGTTGAGTAATTTGCTTGAAAGAAATATGGCGTCGTTCAATGAAGCACCTCCCGGCAATGTTAAATCCGGAGAGAAGATCTTCAAGACCAAGTGCGCTCAGTGCCACACCGTTGAGAAAGGCGCTGGCCACAAACAAGGTCCTTCTCTGCCCCAATATTTTTCTTAATTTTGAAAATAGTGCTTCTTTTTTTTTAGAGTATATGGATCTGCATGATCTGCGTTGTAAAGTTATCGGTCGGATTTCATTTCATGTTTCTGAATTTGTTGTTCTTGAAATGTGTTAATGTGGAATTATAGATCTTGTTTTATTATTGGATTAATTTGATTTTGAATTTTTGTAGTGAGTTGGAGTATATTAGTTATCGGATTTATTGAAAGGAAATGGAAAAATTATCAGCTGAAGCATGCTTGAGTTCAATATACTCATTCTTGGCCTTTGATTTATTATATTTGAACTGTATTATTTTATTATGAGGATTTTAGATCTTATAATCCATCTTACATCCTGGATATATTTTGAGTTTAGCATATATGTTTTTGTTTAGATGAGTGGAGAAATAATGTTGAATACTCCTGAGTTGAAACGACAAACAATTATTGGCTGTATATTCTTAGCAGTGGCAGACGCAAACATTTTGAGGTGCTGGAGCATGATCAAATTTGCAAAGAATACGGATTTACATATATCTCTTGGATGACGATCATGGCCAAGTTTGTTCTCCTTTTTATCTACAACATCATTTTTATCACTTTTATCTCGAATGATCCTTTCATTAACATTGTGATCATCAAAACAAAAAGTATACTTATGTTTAAATTATTTTTCCATCACAATTAATGAAAACAATCCATTCAAGAGAAAATTACAAAAATCAAAGCAAATTTTGAACGTTACATTATCAGCTGCATTCGAATTCAAACAAAGACACAAATCACAGCAAAAATCTATTACCATAAAATCGCCAAAACAAGATGGAAATTGGAGCACCTAAGCGGATCCCCAATTCCATTTTATAAGAAAATACCAAAAAAAATCATCAAAAAGAAATAAATTCCCAGAGAATGAGGCTTCAAATCTGATTTCTGAAGGGAAAAAAATTTAAAAAAAATCAATTTTAGTGACCCACTAGGATCCACTGTGGGTCCGCCACTGATTCTTAGCACTATTTTTAGTAAATTTTGATAAAGTTAATGAAATATGTGGTTGAAGAGTTGTGATTTCCATTAAATGTGTGGTTAGAATTTATTGTTGACTTTGACCTTGAGTTTTAGCAAGATTTTTATCCACACCAAACAGGGGCTTAATGTATTCTTTGGTTCAATATCTCAGGCTTTTTAATTAGGCAACATGCTGAGTATTGTAACTCTCTTAATTGGCTTTTTGCCCGCGATCAATTGTTGGCAGCTTATTTGCATATGCATGCTTGCAATGATATTAATGTTGTGGTGGAATGATATTTGGCCCTCCTTGTACTGTTAGTATGTTGTACAGAAATTTTGTTATATTCAGGCCCACTCCCTTTGTTGTGTCTTATCTGTTGAGGATTTCTCCTTCTTCTGAATCTCCAGGTCCCAACTTGAGTGGCCTCTTCGGAAGGCAATCTGGCACTACCTCTGGTTATTCTTACTCTGCTGCCAACAAGAACATGGCTGTGATCTGGGAAGAGAATACTCTTTATGATTATTTGCTTAATCCTAAGAAGGTTAGTGGACATCTAGTTTTTTTTTTTTTTTTTTTTTTTTTTTTTTATATTCAATTGGTTATAAAAAATGGAGTTATTTCACAAGTTGCAAAAAATGTTTTCTTGAAGCCATTCACGTTTCCTTTTTATTCCCAAAATTCAATTTAATTTGGACCAATACTTTTTGATACCATGATAAACAATTTATGGTTTTAGTTTGATTTCAAATCAATAACGCCCATAGTTGGAGTCATTTCCGTCCACTTAGTAAATATATAATTGGGAAATTTATCAAACACATTGTGCAGATAGGGTGTAATCACATGATACATACTTTGTTTTCAAAATTAAACTTTACCAAGTGTATTGATTAGCATCAGCAATAAATAAATAATAGTTCATTAATTTTCGGGAGAATAAGAGAGATTACAAATGCATCCTGAATACAAGAGTAACACTCTCTCCACATGCCATAGTATGAGAATCTTGAAAGAAAAGCATCTGAAGTGCAGAATATGACCTCTATTTTAAGTAGGATGTCTGATTCCATAATTTGGAGAAAGGATAAAAACTTGATGTGAGAAGACTTTGCTTATGAATTCTATAGAAAATATTTTCTGTTGTATGGACAATTGCCACTCGGATTACATAATTTATTGAGTATTCTAATATTTACAAGAATGTTATTGTTAGTGAATTGAAATACAAATATGTAATCAAAATGCAATTATTAGGTAAATGAATGGCCTTTGGTTAAAGTTACAGATCATGAGCATTATGTGCTAGAGAAAATGTGAATGTTAATGAAAGGAAACTATAAGACTTGTACTGTCAAAATGCAATATTCTAATTGAAAATACTACTCACCACAGAATTAAATTACAAATATGGATTAAAAAAAAATGTAAGTAAGTAGTGATGAATTCAGGATTACGAAAATAAATTGGACTAATTTTGCAAATTGCAAAATAATGATAATCATCAAAAGAAGAAAACATCCTAATGAAATGTGATATTTACTGTTTCCGATGTGGGTGGCATTTTAACCGGAACCGATGCTTCTTCCGGTTTGGTTCCAAGAATTATATTAAACCGAATGGTTCCATTTACAAAATATTTGAAGCTTAATGGGTGAATTGTATCCCTGGTAAAACATAATGTTTCAATTTACTAATTACCAAATTTTAATTGGTGCTTCCCGTTCTTGAAATACCTGGACTAGACACCCCCCCCCCACACACCCAGCCCTTGTTTGTGAAATAATGGCTTATGAAACGTAATGTTAATAATTAGCTTATGTGAAATGCAATTACATTATATAAATGAGAATATTTCGTGTGAAGTATAATTACACTGTATACGAGTCAGTGTTTGTAAATTTATGTGTAATGTTGTCCAAAGTCGAATACTATTTTAATCCAGTTAATGGAACAAATTTAAAATCCATTCTGAAACCAAACTAACCTATTTATGCAATGTTACACTATGTACAAGTTGTAGGACTTGAATTAAAAAGTGATTCTACATAATGGAAGTTCCAGGATAGTTGGGGCTTGTGCATAGCCCGAAAGAGATTGTTATCTCGTGAGTGACGCAATAAGGTGAAATTAGTAGACCAAAATCAATATGGCCATATGTGTTGGCAAAGTATTTAGTTTCAAAGACTTTTTTTTTTTTTTCACAGTAGATGTAGCATTGTATTGAATAAAGTGGTGAAAAATGTTTAGTTTGGTTGATCCCAATTTTATAGTAATGAGGCTTAGATAAATATTTGGTGTATATCTACATGAATGGTAAGATATCATCTAATCGGCTTACGACTTTCTTCTTTCTTTGTTTCCATCCATCGCATCTTAACTCGTATTTGAAAGATACCTTCCTCTTTCTGCCTTTTGCGTTTAATATACTAAATGCATATATTGGAAACTGTAGTTGAGGGATTGTTGTTCTTCCCCAATGATGTACATGTTACTGATCTAAGTTTTGTGTTTGGGTTTTTATGAATGTAGATGGAGTTCATACTTCATAGCTCCTCAATGAGATTCCTAACATAGAAATTTCCTCCTCTGCCTTATCTTGCCTCCAACATTGACCCTGTTCTGTTGTTTGAGTAGTGTTATACAGTAACATTTGCTCAAGTGAGGATGAGTGTATTCTGATTTTACACGTGGAAGAAATAATGCTTACATCAGTTTGAAATGGATATTCTTGGGTGCAGTACATTCCTGGAACTAAGATGGTTTTCCCTGGATTGAAGAAGCCTCAAGAGCGTGCAGATCTAATAGCTTATCTCAAGGAGGCAACTGCTTGAAGCTTCTAGCTTTAAGGAAGCTAGTTATTTTTACTGAAACATGCTTAGATTGGTCATTGGTGTCATTTGGGAAATTTTTTTAGAGGAAAAAGAATTAGTAACTGCGATTCTATTTAATAAGTGCATCACAGTTGTGCACTGTTCTATTTCTCTGAGCTTTTACACCCACAATTGCAAATTTTGTTGCCTCTGCGGCTATTGATTTTTTGAACTGATATAGTTGGGTATGTCTTTCATACATCGATGAATTAATTCATCATATTATATTTTGCTTGCTGTTTCACCACTGATTTACGGTATCTTGAAAATTCTTTCTTCACTTTTCATTGAGGTTTCATATGTTCATGATCGTTACCTGTTATGATTATTGATCTTGTTATGCTATTCATCTTCGATGTTGAGATTGTCTGGTGGTGGAACCTGGGCAATGGAATCTGCTGCCGCAGGTCAAATTTATATTCTGGCATTAGATTACACAAGGTTACTCCAACGAACAAATTGTCTTTGGCTTGTATCTTGATTGTGCCATTCAATCCTAATCTGATATAATACATAAAAGATCTTCGAAAAGTGGTTATGATCCTCTGAAGAATCAAACTTATTTAACGCGGAAAAGGATCCAATGAATTCAAAAGAATTGAACGAGGAGCTGTTTGAGGTGAAAATCAATATAACTTTAAGTAAGACGGGTTCTTAATATTACTATAACATGTTACGAGTCATTTTTTCTTTTAAAGATTCTAGTTTGTCTTTTTCTAGTTGCTGCTCATTTCAATTTTTGGAAGCTTGTGCTTAACTTGAATGGCTTTGGCTGGTAACATCTGTGTGTTGGGGAAATGCTCTAGAGTTGCTGAATTTTTTAATTATGTTAAGAGGAAAGATAATAAATATTTCTTTCTTTAAAGCAAATAGTAGGTAACATGTACTTATCAACCATTTTCATTATAGGGACATTGCTATCGGAGTTTAATTTAATGCCTTCGTGGCTGCATTCTAAAAGGCCCACATAAGTGTTAGGGACCAAGAAAATTCCATGTCTAGAGCGTAGTCAGGAAATAGATTGTCAATGTAGGAGTATCAAGCGTGCTGTTTTATTTAAAAAATGATCGTCTAAGTTGTGCGACGTTCTGTTTGGCAATGATATTTTCTTGTTTTGAAGTTTAGTCTAACAAAAATGTTCAAAAATTAATTTAGAAACAAAATAAATTTAACAAATTATATCATAACATGCATAGCATTCTCTGCTCATGAATAAAGAATTATTGATTTAGTGTCTGCGCAACTGTGCATGATTTTCAGAATTATGTTTTTATTGAAATCCTGAAAAATATGTATAAAGGTCCTATCAATGATCAAACTTAAATAATTATGTACGATTAGAATTTTCTTAAAATAAAAAAAAAAAAGGTCTGAAAGTAAGGATTGAGGCTTGACTTTCATGTCTTGTTATACGTTGTCTTCTAGATGTGAGAGAGAGATATTTACGAGTATTAGACAACACTAGTATATTTGACAAAAGGGTGTCCCCACACAAATGGAGTTGCAACCATTAAGCTCAAATGACTAGTCAATAAGAGTGAATATATATATATATATATATATATATATATAGAGAGAGAGAGAGAGAGAGTATGATCATTTAATAAAAAGAGAATTCGACAATTCTAAAAATTAAATTTTCTTTTTCTTTTTCCTATTTTCAATCATACAATCTTTTATAAAATAATATTACACGTAAATCGAAATTTATTTCCTTTTTTTTCAACTATTCATTCTTAAAAAAAATAATTTTCTTTTTATTTTAATTTGAAAAAAAATGAGGGCCGAATGGGAGAGGTTAAATGTAAATCCAGACGTTTTACTGCATCACATCACGCATATGGTGTGAACCTAGCTAGGCTAGTTGATCACAAACAATGTGTTGCCGGTTCCTTTGCGGTGCTAAACTTTCAAGAGAAAAATGTTCATCTTTCTTTTTAAACACAGGTCGTGATTGAGGCCCCACTATTGGTATTTGACTTTTGACGACAACGTCGACAAGAACTAGCGAACATCAATTGAAAACTGGACGGTCATACTTTAATCAACCCTGCTTTTTGCTTTGGCTTTTTTTGTAATTTAATGGTTAAATGTAGTTTTATACAGTTTTCCCATTGGATTAAATTTAATACATGATTACTTAATTTGCTAAAAATGTTACCTTTTATTATTATTTTCAAAAACGTCCTTACCTTTCTTTTTTTGACATTTTCACCCTTAATTTTCACTTTTCATTTCGCAAAAATCATTTTCATCCATTTTTCCAATTAAAAGATATGAAATGACGAATACACCCTTTTTATTTGAATAAAAGAAAAAGAAAATCTTGATTCCAATTTTTTTTAAAATAAGTGTAAACGAGTACCAAATAAATAATTCAAAAAGTAATTAGCATATAATGTCCATATTTTTCACTATTATTCTGAAAAAGTCTATACCTTTCATTTTTTACCATATTCATCCTTAATTACATCTTTAATTGCTCAAACCATCATTTCTATCCATTTTCATCAAATTTCTCAATAAAGTTGTGAAATGACGAGTATGCTCTCATATTTAAATAAATAAAGAAAAATATTTTTTAAAAATTTTAATTTTTTTAATAATTTTGTTGGGACTCTTTTGTATTTTTTTAAAAAGGTTTAGGATTATGATTGCAATTAATTTTTTATTTTTAAATTTAAATAGGACAGTATATTCACCATTTCACATTTTTTTTACTGAGAAATTGGATGGAAATGATGGTTTGAGCAATTAAAGGTGAAAATGCCAACAAATAAAATTTAGGGATGTTTTTCTCAATAATAATGAAATGTAGGGACATTATGTGCTAATTACCATTCTAATAATTTATTTAGAACTCGTTTGCACTTTCTAGAAAAAATTGGGATTATGGTTACAATTACCTTTTTATTTAAATAAAAGGGTACATTCATTATATCACAGTTTTTTATTAGGAAAATGGATGAGAATAACCTTTTGCACAATAAAATATTAAAATAAAAGTGAAAATGTCAAAAAATAAAAGATAATGGCATTTTTCACAATAATAGTGAAAAGTAAAGACGATATATGGTAATTACCCAAAATGTTAAGCAATTAGGATAAGAATAAGATTGGCATATTATGTCATTATTACTATAATAAAGTGAACAGGTTGTTATTTAATTACTCAATCTCATTATTCGACAAATTAATTGCATTTTGAAAGATTGGCTAACAAACACAATAACAATGAATAATGGAGTACTTCTGCACTGACAGGGGCCATTGACACGCCCTGAGACAAGGGCTGAGGTGCTTAGCAGAGTAATACATGAATAATGACCCATTTGGTGTAACATTTAAAAATTCAAAAATTATTTTTAAACCTGTTTGACTAATTTTATGAAAGCACTTCTGCTAATAAGAAAAACTTTTAGAGAAAATTGATTGAATGTAACTTTATCTAAAAGCATTTTTCAAAATTGGAAATGCTTTTGAAAATGAATTTTAAAAAAAAAAAAATTATGGTAATTTTTTTTTCCAAATCTCTCCTATAAAAAGCATAAAAAATATAACAGTCATGTCAAACGGATCTTAAGCCTTGTTTAATTTATATTCTTTGGCCACAAAAATTAAAAATATGACATTTATCCATCACATCAAGCCATCATATTTGATTTTCTATCTCTTGTGTGGTTCCGTAACGACTATATTTTTCATTCTCATTCTTATAGAAATGGGTACCAAATGGGGCTTAAGAGTTTGTGTGGGAGGAATTTTAGCCCCTGTTTGAGCTACATTATAGTAAAAATGAGAATGAAAAATATAGTCGTTATGAGCTCCATACAAGAGATAAAAAAATGAAATATTATGATTTGATGTGATGGATAACGATCATATTTTTCATTTTAATAAGGAAATAATGGGGCTCAAACAGGGCATTAAAATTTTTAAAAGCATTTTTTGAAGGTGAAAAGCTCTTCTTAGGGCTTGTTTGATAGTATGGAATTTCATTTCCATGGAACTTCAATTCCTTCTTTTCCCTTTTTTAGTTGTTTGATAGCATTTTAAATTCCATGGAAATCAATTCTTGCTTTTGTTAAAAGTTGTGCAATTCCTGATTTTTATGGAATTCCAATTCTCACCGGGCATTGTAGCAAGTTTTTTAATTTTTTTGGTAATAGAAACAAATTCTAAGAATTATTATAAAAAAATATTTTCATTTAATTGACAATTTCTATGTAAAACAAAGTCAAACAAACACTCAAAGATAGATGATTTTCTTGATTTTTTTTTTGGTCTTGGCAATGGAAACAAATTTCATTTCCAATACCTGTAAATTTCATCCATTTAATTGACAATTCTCATGTAAAACAAAGTCAAACGAACATCAAAAAATACTTTTATTTTAACATTTTCCACGTGAAAAATTATATCAATCAAACACAATAATTTACATTTCCCAGGAAAACAATTCTATGCAATTCAATTCCTTGAAATTCATTTTCTAAGCAATTCAATTCCATATTTGCAATCAAACGGACCCTTATGTCAAAAAGTACTGTTTAACAAAAAAAAAAAACCTTAAAAAAGTTGTTAAAAAACTAGAATTAATCTTTTATGGAAAGCTGTCATTCTGATTAATGAAGCTTCAAAATTAATAAATTACATATTAACATATCATAAAAAAAAAATTTAACTTCCATGAAATAAATATAAAAAAAAAATTATACAAAAGCATTTTTATGATTTTATGGTCAAATAGTCAATTTAATATTCATAGCATTTTCTGAATTTACAACCAAATAGTCAACAACTTTTAAATAAAATTTGTACACTCAAAAGTTCTATTCACAACATTAATAATTTTTAGTGTAAAAACATCTCTAAAAAGTTAGAATTTTTCTTGTTTTACAGTCCGACTAGAACTGTAAAACTTACAATCCCGTCATTGAGATGGGGGCTCGCGATGTGAGGAAGCCGTGAGCAATGCTGTGTGTCGAGTTGTACACACGGCACGATTCAAAAAGTTATATCCTTTTAATGCATTAGTAAAATGAATGGCAATTACAATTCTCGTACGTTAGGATTTTCGAAAGCAGGGTGAAATTTAAAAATTTCCTTTATTGTCTTGTTTAATTTAAAAATGAAATTGAGAATTTGAGGGGGTTTATATGCAAAGTGGCCAAAAGTCAAAGGAATAATATCCACTAGAAATTACTTTAAAATCCGCAACCAATGTAAAGGTTCTTTAACTATTAAAATCATCCAACGCGCGACAGTTTCCATTTCCACCAATATTAGTCTTAAATCTTAATTGCGTGCAAAACCTCCAGCAGTTGCTCTCAGGTTCGTTTCTCTACGATCCCATCAAGTTCTTCTTTCTTCATGCATTGCATTTAACGCTTAAGTTACGCATATGACATATCATTTTCACTGAATCAATGATCAACGGTTTTATTATCTGAATTCTTTTTTTTATTACTTCAATATTCAATTTTAGTATTGATTACTTGAATTGGGATCTAATGGTGTAATTTTCAGATTTTTAGTCTTACAATGGGTTTCCTTGAATTTTGCATTTATTTGGTTTGTTCTCTCTTTTTTTTACTAAGCAGTAGTTGTGCTTGTGATCGGTAAATGGTTTGAGTTTCTCAAGGAAATTGCTTTATGGGTGAATCTAGATTTTTTTTTTCCGAGTTTAGATTTGGGATCAAAGATGTTGAGACTTGAGATTTGAGAAACTCTTCTTTTAAATCTTGTGTGTGTGTTTATTGCAAGAACAATCCGTAAAGGGACATATCCATGTATTCACTATTTAGAAAGGTTGAATTGGGTACAAAGCATTTGATTCTGCAAGAGTGTAAGCCTCAAGGAGTTTGAGGTGTAAAGCTCGTATAATTAAAAAAATATATATATACAAAATAACAGCCATAAGATAATTATAGAAATGATCATCTAAAATTCATTATAAAACATTTCAACAGAGTTAAAAGTCTAATTTGGAACTAAAAACGTAAAATAGATCAAGAAACTAGTAAATAATAAATTAGCAAACTGGTCTATGACCACGAATCCTCAATGATTTATTTGGATGCAATGGAATTTTATCATTTCAAAAAAGCATTCTAGTTGGAAGGAGAACCAAAATTTTAAACAATATTTTGTTTGTTTTGATTTTAACATAGCTCATACTAGATAGAAGAAAAGTACAAAAGAAAGAGAGGGGCGAAGTTACATAAATGGCTGCAACTTCAGTATTAAGAGGGTAGAACATGCCTGGCTTTTCTAATTTCCAAACCTTTTCCCTGTTTTTGGAATTGATTGAAAGAAACAAGGTAAATACTCCATCCCAGGTTCAAAATGGTGCAAAGAACCGTAAAAATGTTCCAGACTGAAGAACCTAATCAAAGAGCTTAGGAAAGTAAAAAAGCTCAACTGACTAAACACCAAGGAGTCCACACCTTCAGCTTCCTAAGGCATTTGACACAAACCATATGCCAATGTAACTCAAGGCACGAGCTTTGAGGCTCTTAACGGATACCTCATCATGAGGCGCACCTCAAGGTAAGCCTAGGGTGCTTTTTTTAATGATAATATTTGTTATGTTGAAGATGCAACGTTAACTATTCGAGTACGTGATACAGGGCAATGTATGTTCAAGGCAGTTAAGATTTGCTGTTTAAGTAAAAGTCTCAGCACTGCAATGAATCATGTTTTATAAAATTTATTTGTGATTATGTTGACCTAAAGATAATGATTAGAAATGTGATTAAATTGTCTCTCATTCTTACTGAAGCAGGGAAATCTTGGCTTTTGATTACATTATCCTTAGGATTTGATTACTAATATCATAAAATTGTCTCTCATCCATGTTGCAGCAGGAAAAATGTTGGACAATGGCTTTGATGCAGGAAACATGTTGGACAACAGCTTTGACAGTAGAGAAGATGAATTTCCTAATTGCTGTACTGATGAGGTAGGCCACAGGCCCACATAGTTTCCCTTTTCTTCTTTTTATATGTAACATTCTCTTTGTCCACCCTCCTCTTGTGAGGTGTTGTGGCGAAATCGTACCTTCTTTTCCTCATAAAATCAGTGAAGTATATAAATCAAATTGGAGGAAACACTAACCTTTGCTCAGCTAGCGAACCATAATAACGTGACTTCAGCAAGGCGTGTAGCCGAGCCTCTCTTTCCGGTGTCTCTGTTTAAAGAACTAAAGAAGCTAAAAAAGCTATCTTTTTAGAATGTCTCTCGTTAAACCATTTTCTAAAAGAAATATTGATTGTCAACTTAAAATAATCACTTGAAGTGCTGTCAAAGTTCAATAAATTTTCTTTTGCCAGTGCATCACATGAAGGTTCAATAGCATGACTAGGATGCTAGTCAGCCATGACTTCCACACCTTCCACGTTGGAAGTTGTGAAATTGGTTTGTATATGGATTCTGTATTCGTGCCTTAGTGTCAAATGAGTTATCATAACCCAGTGCTTTTATGTGTCGTGTGTATTTTAACTGAGCTTTTCTTCTTTTTTCTGATTATTTATTTGACCTGTTTCCAAATTTTGAAATAAGTTTCAAAATGGTGCAACAATTTGATATTCAATTATAAGAATTTTGGATGCTACACATGACATGTCCCATCACATGCTCCGATCTATCCAACTGCCTTGTGCCCAGGATTGAAGAAATCTTCAATACTGTTCAAATTGCATCTGAAGTGTATTAGCGAATGCTGTAGATTTATAAACATTTCAGTGTTCTCCGTTTTTCGCATTGCAGCTTGTCTACACACTTTGCTGTACCCCTTGTATAACTGTCCTTGCCATTATCATTTGCCTGTGTTATGTTCTTTGTTTTTGTTTATTTGAATCCTGTCTATTTTTTAAGCACTTTTTATCTTTGACTTCTGATGAACTTGTGGTTTGAAGATTTGAAGAATACTGATTAGACAAACAAAGTTACTTCTTTGATGCCAGATTATAAATCAGATTGTTTGGTTGTTGCATTAACGTGTCATGTGGCTCTATTGAATACTGTTTCTTTCTCTTTTGTTTTGTTATTTTCATTCTCATTGTGATTTTTTCCAGGTCAAAGTTGACCCCAGTAGGCCTCCATCCCTAGCTTGGAAACGGAAACTTAATAATGAGGAGCATGACCTTTCTCAATTTGGTCTGACTTTGAGAGAAAAAATCACTTTGGTATTCTTCTGAACTTTAATACTGCTCTTGCCTCCATGGGCTGTAGCCCTGTCTCACACAGTTTATTTATTAAAAGAAGTCTTTGTGCCAAGAAGTATGGAATTGAACATTGTTCAAGCTTGTATTTGAGCTCAGCAGCTTAAGAAATATATGTATATATTGTCTCTTTATCCTTTTTGAAGACGAACCAAACAAGAAATATATTACTCGAACCGTGAACAAAATATCCCTCTTCATAGTTAGAAGTTTTCTCCTCTTGACTTGAGCTGAGCTTTCTTCGGAATTTTCTCCATCTGGAATTTAATACTATTAGATGTTAGCATCAAGGTTCTGTCTCCAAAATATTGCCCAAACTTCTCTTAAAGTTGTCCTACAATGTTTACTTGGTGATGTGCAACTTAAATAGTTGAGGAACATGTAAATGAACAAGATTGTTGCCTTTAGTGGTCCCGCAGTTAACAGTCTAATATTCATTCTCTCTAGTTGTGAGTTTTTATCCTGCATATCTGTTCCTGTAATAGCATCTTTTTGGTTCTCCATAGGCTCCAATAGGTTATCGGCTGTGGCGGTATCTTCGAGAGGAAAAAATCAGGGGAAAGGTAAATTCTCCTCTATTATAGAATTGAAACTTGAGTTGGTGGATCCCCTGTTGGTAAGAGCATCTCTCTCCTGTTCTTGCAGAACTGTTTTCTAGATCCTTTTACGAAACGCCATACAACATCTTGCCATGGGATTCCAATAGGTGGTATTGGGTATGTATATTTTACTCTCTCTTTCTACTCCGCAAGTAGAGGATCATTCATGATTCAGCAAAAGGCAGCGACAATAAAAGTCTGAATAGTTTTTTCTGTTAGATGATGTAAGCCATATTATAACTTTATGGATCAACAACTTTTCAGTTATTTTTCAAAATAAACTACTAAGATGTGATATATGCAACATTTTTAATCACTTCTTGCATTTTTATCAAGTGCAATATAGGGATTTTTTCGCTGTCTAAACTGTTATCTTGGACAGTCTTTTGTCCTTGTGGCAGAATTTTGAAAGATATTTTCTTAAGTTGAACCTTCTCATGAAGAAGTAAAACAAGATTATATAACAAAGCACAAATTTGAGTCATTACTTTGAAGAGCTATCATTCTTATACTGTTTTTCCCTTCAAAGTGAAGCAAAAAAGCACATGTTTCTCTATCAATGCATGGTATTCATCTGCGTAACTGTGGACTGTTTTTTACGAATAACCTGTAATGTGTAACAACGGTGCCTTATAAAATATCATGGATATTCAATTTAATTGGTGTTACTGTAATTAATGTATGTGTATATGATTGGAGACAATTTTCAGAGCAGGAAGCATCGGAAGAAGTTTAAAAGGCGAATTTATGCGTTGGCAACTATTCCCTAGAATATGTGAAGAAAAACCAGTCTTGGCAAACCAATTTTCTGTAAGTTGACCTAGTTCTAAAGATGTTCACAATTATGTTATTACATGATGACAAGTTTTTTCAAGCATACCGCCATTGAAGTGATGTGACACTATTAGTAACATCCGGTGAAATATTAACTAGACTATGAACTGTGAGTAACACATTACTTTTACATAAACATAAAGTGAAAAATTCAATAATCAGTAATATGTCATTGAAATGGTGTGGTTGACAAAAGATAGATTTTCGGTTGCATTTCTATTGCTAACTTTTATTTACTAATGACCACATTATATTGTTTCTCCAAACTTGCAGATATTTGTTTCACGTCCAAACGGGGAAAAGTATTCTAGTGTGCTATGCCCAAAGAGTCTGGAAGTGTTAAAGTAAGAATGTACTTTTAATTTGTTTTTCCGGATAACTTGATATGTGAAATTAATAATGCTTTCAAGTGACCCCCCACCCCAGTTTTTTTCTCTGTAAGGAATATTGTGTGAAAGAATCAACGTGTAAATTTCTCTGAAATAATGTGGATAAACAGTGATAGTTCAGCTTCTGGGATAGGATCTTGGGACTGGAATCTGGGTGGACAAAGTTCCACATACCATGCATTATTCCCAAGGGCTTGGACTGTATATGATGGTAATCTTGTGATTTGCTAATGCATTCACAATTTATGTCCCAAGTCATGGATTTCTAGCATCACATTTTTTCTTTAATGCAGGAGAACCTGATCCAGCACTTAAAATAGTATGTCGTCAAATTTCTCCTGTTATTCCCCATAATTACAAGGAGAGCAGCTTCCCTGTGGCAGTATTTACTTACACGGTACAAAATTTCTCAAAACTTCAAAAACACACACACACGCCTACTTCCCCAGCACACATACATTCGGAGAAAGGCATTGTATAACATTTATATGAAGAAATCGACTATGATTGTCTTCAGTTGTCTAATTTGGGAAAGACGGCCGCAGATGTCACTTTGCTTTTCACGTGGGCGGTATGTACTCTTTTTTAAGTTGGTTCTCATGATTATTGAAAGAATTAACATTTCAACTTACCTTTTCGTTCCATGTACAGTAATTCTCTTGACATTTTTATTTCATGGTTAGCCTGCTTCTTACACAAAATATTTCTGACAACTGTTCTTGATCAATCTTCTTGCAGAATTCTGTTGGTGGAGATTCTGGATTTTCTGGTAACCATTTCAATTCAAAATTTCGGTAAGGTTGCATTTATCACCTTCAAATATTGTGATTG